GGTTTGAGGTGATATCCCGATGGTTGCATTGTTGGGATCTCCTCTTTATGATCTCTGACCCGGGTCGGGTTTCATATTGAGGAGACATGATTGTGATTGGTTGCCCACGGGCAGAGCTTGGAGCCGATGATACACGTGATAGTCTTGAGTGATTCGGCTATCACGGGGTTGAGGAAATCCTACGGTTACACAGTAACCGCGCCAATGTTCCACTAGCTATGGAACGGGATCGGGATTGAGTGATTCTCCCGGCAGAGACTGGCAATACATTTACCCGTGACTCGGGATTGAGCGATTCTCCCGACGGGGTTATGCGAAGGAACTCAGAAAGACCTGAGCTCGGGTCCGATGAGTTTCTCCGTGGCGGACGGCCGGCGAGAGGTTGTTAGTTGTGTACTGACTTCGCTCGACATAGTCGGTGGTGGCCTGGAGGGGGCACCTGGCGCTCTGGCATCGAGAGGTGACATCGATGTCAGAGGGGATGGTTGATGTATTATGTTTTATGGAGTAGGGATTTGGATGGCGTGTTTTATTGTTCCGGCGATTGCCGAGGAGAGCGGGGGATGTGCGTTGCACATGGGGCGTCCTTACCCACGTGTGTGATGCACACGTGGAGATGATTTGACGGTACGGTTATTACTGAGAGACCCGATGGGTCGAGTTATGACTCGTGTACATATGTCCTGGACTGGTGAGACCAGATCCTTGCGGTATCCTATGTGTGCGATGCACATAGAGATGATTTGACGGTTATGTCCGATGATACATCATGCGGACTGAGTGTGTGTGATAAGTGAATTACTTGTGCGATTGAGTGAATTGTGTTTCCTGGCATGAAGTGTGTATATATGTATACACTTATATCTAGTGTATGTATAATATTGATTGTGTTTGGCCATTTGCCATTTGAGTATGATCTTCGGGTTTAACCTGAAGTACTCACTAAGCATGTAGCTTAGGACGTTGTTATGCAACGTTTCAGCTCGAGATAGCGCAAAGAGGAGCGTTGGATGGACATAGTAGCGCCAAGAGTGTGAGGAGGAAGACCGAAAAGATTTAGGTTGGAGTTACGCAGATTTCTGTTCCAAAAAGATTGGTAGTGTCGATTTATGAGTTTTGTATTTTCCGATAGTTACACTACCGTAATTGCATTTGTCTCCGCTGCATATGTATATAAATTGAGAATTTTTAAATCCCGCGTATTTTCGGTAATTGTATTTATTTTATTTTTGTCCATGTGGCGCAACTCGTGGTTTTCGCGGGACACGGGTTTCGGGTGTCACATAACCCCAAGTTTGCTCATGTTGTTACAGACCAGGCTCCCTCTACTCTCCCCACTTCTGCTGCTCAGGCTCTTCGACTTGCCTACTGGAGAGCAGCAATGAGTGAGGAATTTGATGCCTTGGCTCGAAATCGTACCTGGGATCTGGTTCCACCCGAAACTGCAGCGAACGTTGTGGGCTGTAAATGGGTGTTTCGCATCAAACATAATCCGGATGGCTCAGTCGAACGGTATAAAGCCCGTCTAGTTGCCAAGGGCTTTCATCAACGACCCGGAATAGACTACAACGACACGTTCAGCCCTGTTGTCAAGCCTGCAACCATACGCGTTATTCTCAGTTTAGCAGTTTCTCGGAATTGGTCTATCCGTCAATTGGACGTGAATAATGCCTTCCTCCAAGGCAGTCTCTCGGAGCAAGTTTTCATGGTGCAGCCTCCTGGTTTCATTGACAAAGACGAACCTCGACACATTTGTAAGCTCAACAAAGCTCTCTATGGCCTCAAGCAGGCTCCGCGAGCATGGTACTTCGATCTTATCTTCTACACAAAGGATTTACCAATTCCCTTGCCGATGCATCACTGTTCACTCTGCACCGTGATCATAGCCACCTGATGGTACTCATCTATGTTGATGACCTTGTCATCACCGGCAGCAATCCTGATCATATTCAACACTTCATTGCTTCCCTTGCTGCCAGATTTTCTCTGAAAGATTTAGGATCACTGTCGTTCTTTCTCGGAGTCGAAGCAACTCGCACTTCTGCAGGATTATCTCTCAGCCAGCGAAAATACATCACCGATCTGCTCCAGCGAACGTTGATGCACGAATCCAAGTCGGTCTCCACTCCTATGTCATCCACCTCTCGGCTAGCACTCAACTCTGGCAACCCTCTTTCTGATCCCACTGAATACAGAAGCATTCTTGGAGCTCTGCAGTATTTATCCCTGACAAGGCCTGATGTCTCCTTTGCCGTTAACAAACTTAGCCAATTCATGCATCAACCCACTGATCAGCATTGGACTGCTGTTAAACGGGTTCTGCGGTATCTGGTAGGGACTTCTCACCGCGGCATTTTCTTCGCTGCTGACAACCCCGCTAATCTTCATGCCTACAGCGATACAGATTGGGCTGGGGACAAGTCGGATTACAAGTCTACAGGAGCATACATCATTTATCTTGGAAAACATCCAATTTCCTGGTCCTCGAAAAAGCAGGGCACCATTTCCCGTTCATCAACTGAAGCAGAGTATCGGTCTGTCGCTAACACTTCTGCCGAAGTTCGCTGAATCCTCAACCTCCTCTCTGAACTTCAAGTCACTCTTCCTCAGGCTCCAGTCATTCACTGCGATAATATTGGAGCCACGTATCTCAGTGTCAACCCTGTGTTTCACTCATGCATGAAGCACCTAGCACTGGATTATCTCTTTGTTCCTGGCCAAATTGAAAATGGCTCACTACGCGTTGCTCACATCAGCTCCAAAGACCAGTTGGCGGACATTCTGACCAAGCCGCTTCCGCGATCTATCTTCTCTGATCTCTGCATCAAGATCGGAATCACCGACGGTGCTCCGTCTTGCGGGGGCATATAAGGGAACAATATATTATGTATATATTTTTATATACCACATACAGAACTTGCCTTATACCTTAGGGCAGACTAGCTCATACGTCTCTGTATATATTTCCTCTGTAATATTCTGATCAATACAAGCCGCAATACACAAGAGCTCATAACCTTACAATAATATCCCAACTCTCAATAGTCTTAACATGTTCATCTTATGGATTCTATCCAAACCTAATCTCAACTCTCGCATCATAACTAGATTCTAACACATTCAATTGGGTGATCAAACCAATCTAACGAAATAAACGCAATCCATAAAAACCGATGAGTATCGGTAACAAGGTATCGTATGAAGTACATAGCAAATCTCTACATGTAGGATAGAACCCTATTCCACAATTAATGAATCTTGACTTCTCCATCACTCTAGGTTATTCCCTTGATGCCCAAAAAAAGTCCTAAAAGGTTCTTTAAATGTCCTCACTTGATTATATATGGTGGCTAGGTTTTTTTCTTAGGTCAAATTCTCTTGAAAAATAGATTTTTTTTTTTGATAATCAGGATGATTCTCGGTGCCTTCGATCCAATTACATCCATCCTTGGCCCGAGACCAGCCTTTATGTATAGATCATTTTGGTCCAGAAATTATATCTCTCTCCATCAATGGAATCGAACCGAGTACTTTGAAGATGACTTTGTCACCTCTCAATCACTAGACTACTAATTGTTGGGTAAAAATGTAAGTTTGTACAAAAACAAAATTGTCTAAGGAAGTGACACAAGCATGTGCAAGTGACATAGGCTACGTCATTTCTTTGAGTAAAAATCACCATCTCTGTGTCAAACGACTCGATCATGCGAACTGGATTCTGGTCGTGTCAAATGCCTCGTCGTCCTGAAAACAACTCTGAAATGCTCGTTTTGATGTTTTGCTCTGCACGTCTCGTTTCATACTTATTTTGTACTTATTTACGCTCTTTTGTCCATTTAAACACCAAAAAACAAAATAAACCAAAACAACGAACTAATATGATATGTCTATAATTAGCACAAAACTGGTGAGAAAATACTAAACGTTCTTATTAAAATATGGAAGACTTTCGTTGCCATCAAATTCTCCCAAATTTAGAGTTTTGTTTGTCCTCGCGCGAATAAAAGCGTCTCAAAAGGAATATAAGTATCGACCTGAACTGTCGACGTAGGGAAAAAACCCTAAAAATTCCCGAACTTGTAATTTGGTGTAATATAAATTCCTGAACTTGTAGAAGTGCCTATTAATTCCCAAACTTGAAAAATTGAACATGGAAATTACTTAACTTGTTAAACCGTTCCATAACCGTCCTTAAGATTAATTGGTCAAAAAACCGCGTTGACTTGTCCAACGTGGCATGTGACGTATATGGCCAGTTCAGAAAATTTTTGCCACATATGCGGTTTCTGGTTTTTCGAGAAACCTTGGTAAATCGATCGGATTGAACAGTAAACCGGGCTTTCTGGAACCGATTAACATAGATATAACCGGTGAAAAAAATCTAACCCTAAATCTTATTCACTTTCACCCAAATCGACTGGAACCAAAATATCTTTTCGTCACTCTCTCATCGGCAATCTCTTCGGCACCGTATCATCGACAATCTCTTCGGTGAAGGACCATTCATCTAATCTCAGGTTTCGAAATCACCAGAACTCTATTAGTTTATCTTTCTCTTCGGTTGTTTTTGTGAGCCGTGTTGGTTATTTTCTTTTTAGGGGATTTTGAGCTGAATACGAGTTGTTGTCGGGTTTAATTTGATGGAATATGTGTATATGGTGATGGGTTTAATATAGTAGGATTGTATATATGGTTTTGGGTTTAATAGGAATTTGACATACGAATCAAAGGGTTGTTTTGTTTTTTTTTTTGTCTGTGAAATGTGTACAAGTTGTAGGGTTGTTTTTTTTTATGAATTTGATGTCGAGTTATAGGGTTGTTTTTTTTCTTTTTGGGGGATTTTTTTGTTTTTTTACAGGATGAAAGGGAATTGTTCATCTGAGGGTGGAAGGAGTTCTTCAACATCCAGTGCACGATCAAGTCGGAGAAAAGGGCGATCGAGTGAACGCAAGGTTTATCCATGGAAATGCGAATGTGGATGTGACGTTGTGAGATTGACATCGAAAACAGAGAATAATCCCGGAAGAGTGTTCTTCTGTTGTGAGAAACAGGAGGTATTGGTGAAAAATTGAATGTATGTTTCAATTGGTTTATGGTTTATCTGATCTTGTTGGTATAATATTTCAGGGAAATTTTAATCACTTCTTCAAATGGTTTGATGAGGTTATGGAAGACAAAATGGACAATTTTGATGAAGGATTAGAAAGAGTACTAATGGATACGGAAGCATACAAACTGAGGATCGGAAAGATGGAAATTGAGTTGGAAGAGTACAGAGTGAAGACGAGAAACTTGGAGGTTGAGTTGGAAGAGTACAAGGAGAAGACGAAAAAGTTGGAGGATGTGTTGGAAGACTACAAAGGCGTGATGCTTAAATTTGTGGTAGTTGTCGTAGTTGTAGTTATGGTAATTACATATTACTATCGACTATTGTCGGTTTGAAAATTTGTATGAAGTGGGTCGGTTGTAGTATTTTGGTAATATTGGAATCTGATGATGTATCAAATGACTTAGGGTTATGAGGATATGTGTAACTTATTGTGGATCTTGTAATGTTAAGTGAACATGTATGAAATTATGGTGAAGATTAGTTTGTTTTGATATATTTGCAGATGCATTTGAAGAGAATGTATTAAATTATGCAGAAACAGATTGAAGAGAATGTCAAGTAGTTAAACACAGGTTTAGAGCTTACAAAAAAAAAAGAACATGTCTTAGAGCATTTGAACCTTACAAAATATCTAAACCCTGGAACATTAGAACCAGATATGGGTTGAACTATATCCAAAAAATAATTTCAGATCTAACATCCAAAAAACGACCCTTTGAACCACCAAACACCACTAACAGTTCAACATGTACAAAACATTATCTCATATGCAACTAAATCCTAACATCTTCCTGAAGATGTGTTGTTGCAATCAGGATCTTGGTTGCCTGGTGGAACTGGTCTTGGGGCTTAAAATTGTCTAACTGACGTAACTATGCGTCGTAGTCTGCGAGGAGGATGGATTGTTGATTGCACCGTCTGGCTTGATTGGGTCGGCATATCCAGATGAGAGGAAGCTTCAGCAGACGGTTGTGGCTGAGGCGTATTGGGTCGGTTGCTTGATTCTCCTTGCACCTACATTGACAGATGAAGTTAAACAAGATTTATATTCAAGTGATTGTGAATCAGATGGGTTTTACAAACCTTTCTCGGTCGACCTCTTCCTCTTTTACAACCATAGATTGTAATTGGTTCGTTTCTGCACCCTCTTGCATTATGTCCCGTCTGTTTACAGAGACTGCAAGTCATTTGTCTTCCGTGTCTAGTCATGTGCCCAGATCTTGTACTCGACTCACATGGTTCCTTCCTCCGACTAAACTTTTTGGGTCGACCCGGCATAGATCGCTTGTTTGGTACACCAATCGCAGGCATGTTAGTTTTCTGCCAAAGAACTTGTCCATTCACATGGTTGATGTTATGTGCATATGTTTCAACCCACTGAGACGTCATATAGTACTCGGATATGTAACTGTCCATAAAACATAATCAGATTACATTAGTTGACTAGTATTTATAGAATATGAAAAAATGAGTTTCTGTACTTACTTTGAAACCTCTTCCTGCTTCTCGTTTATGATGCACAATGCATGTTGACAAGGAATTCCTCTTAGGTCCCATTCACGACAAGCGCATCGCTTTCCGGCAAGATCAACTGAGTAACTCATTCTAAACTCTTCCACTTCGTATTGTCCACGTGCACTTGGTATATTGTGCAAAACCGTGTTTTCTGTCGTGCTTATTCCAACTTCTTCATACAATGACGAGTAAACTCAGTCAAGCATCTCGTTGCATACCTCGACCGTTTGGCATTACGATGCATTATTTGTTTACGTATCATCTCCAGCATATCTATCATCGGCCTCAACCGTGCCTCTCTGATTGTCTGGTTGAAACTCTCTGTCAGATTGTTAACTACATCGTCACAACGCGAGTCAGGTTTGAAGAAGGCTCGAGCCCATTGATGTGGTTCTGCACATAAAACAGCTTCATATGCAAGTTCATTCAATTGTTTCATTTCTTGTAGATGTGCATCATAATGAGCTTGGTGATAGCTTGCAGCAATGCTCCAAAAGATACGCTTATAAGCCGAATCCTTGTAGGTTTTCCTCCAGTTTGCATAAACGTGACGAGTACACATACGATGCTCGGCAAATGGCAACTCGCATGCGACAGCATTCAACAAACCCTGTAAAACAAGAAGCAATTTACCAATTGAAAAACGTGAAAGATAAATTGATAAGTAAATCAGTAAATGAGATTACCTTTTGTTTGTCCGAGGTTATTGTTAATTTCTCTCCTTCACCAAGGTCCAAATCAGATTTCAGTTTTTGAATAAACCATAACCAATTCTCAATGTTCTCTATACGCACAACTGCCCACGCAATGGGATATATACCGTTATTAGCATCCCTTCCGACGGCTGCTAGAAGTTCTCCTTTTAACTCCCATTTCAAAAAGCAGCCATCCAATCCAATGATAGGTCGACAACATTTTTTCCACGTATCACGTAACACATGGAAACAGATATAAAACCGATCAAAGACTTCTTCATCATTTTCTGTCTTCAGACCTATTTCAGTGGTTATGTTCGGATTTGACCTCCTAAGCTCAGCCTCGTAATCCCACAGTTTTGCAAATTGTACTTTCTGTTCTTCGGTTACCATTTTAGATGCAACACGTCGAGCCTTAGAGCATTTGCTCTTTGACATTATCAAACCATACCTCTCTACCAATCCCACTCTAATGTCAACAGCTCTAAGTCGTGGATTCCTCCTCATGTCCTCCTTGAAACGTTCAGCAATATGATACATATTCACCATCGGTGCATGTCCATTTGGATGGTGGTTGTGTGTTGGATAATATGTCTTGATCACCCACTTGTTCAAATATGTATCAAGTGTACAATACACCCTCCACACGCACTTTTTACGCCTACAGTTAGCTGAATACCTCGTCTTCGAAGACTTCGTCATCCTAATGTTGAACTGTGTGTCAAAGACATAGTCAACCAACGTCTTTTTGAACTCTTCCCCGGAATTAAATGTTTTTCCGAGATAAAGATGTCGTTTATCTCCTTTTATCCGACCACTCTTCACTGGTTTCTCGAAAGACCGCCACTCTTCATCCATGTTTAGAGGTGATTCGGGAAACGCATCTTCATCGTCTCCATAACATTCATTAGAATCACTGTTCTCCTCTGCTCAGTCGACGGCTGTTTAGGCGATCTGCTGACTGGCGATAGGGTGTTCTCGGTCTTCTCCTCTGTCAAATTGCGGTTGTTTGGGGCTGCTTCTGATTCGACTCCGAATTTGAAGATATGAGGTTTGTCGGTTCTGTTCTACTCTTCTTCTTCTTCGATTTGTGTTGTGAAGACAGACTTGGGTGTGTTGTGAAGACAGACTTGGGTGTGTTGAAATTAGGGTTAAGAATGATTTATTTCAGATTCTACATGAAATATATGTGGGTTTAAATCTTGGTTCTGCGTCTGCTTCTTCTTCGACTGCGAGTTTAATTCCTGGTTTATGGTTTCTGTATTGGTTGGACAGGGTTATAGTGAATGTACTTTTCGGCGGGTGTACAGATTATGGCGAAGATGGAAATGTGGGGTACATTGGCGGAGTAAAGGCGCAAGTGTTTAGTGAACCCCCCCATAATCTGTCATGGGACCTGTTTGAGAATATCATAGAGTTAAGGAACATTTATCCGCCAATGTATCAGTTGTCGTACAAATTACCGGAGGAAGCATATAAGGATAGGAGGGTGATAAGTCATAGAGAAAGTAGGTATGAATTTCGCGAGCTGAATAAGATTGTAGCAGAATCGACAGAGATCGATGTATTTATCGAGCATGAGGAAGTTGAAAACAATGAAAGTGAAGAAGAAGCTCGTGAGGATTCTACCGATTCTGAGAGCGGTAGTAATGGTAATGATGATTTTGAAACTGTCGGTTATGAAGACCTCGGCAATGTTAATGATGAAGGTAGGGGTGAGGAGGAACGAGCTGAGTATATTCACCACCGACTATTTTCGAAGAAATCGCCGATGACAGGGGTAACTAGATTTAGGGTTCCGATGGTCGGGTTTCTTCTCGAGTTTTCGGTTTCGATTTGTGGTAAATGTGACTTTTTTATGTTTTACAATTACTTAACTGGAAAATGTTACTGTGCACCGGTTATATCTATTTTAACCGGTTCTATAAAATACCGGTTTACTGTCCAATCCGGTCGATTTACCACGGTTTCTCGAAAAACCGGAAACTGCATACGTGGCAAAAAATTTTTGAGCTGGGCATACACGTCATATGCCACGTTGGACAGGTCAACGTGGTTTTTTGACCAATTAATCTTAAGGACGGTTATGGAACGGTTTAACAAGTTGAGTAATTTTCATGTTCAATTTTTCAAGTTTGGGAATTAATAAGCACCTCTACAAGTTCGGGAATTTATATTACACCAAATTACAAGTTCGGGAATTTTGAGGGCTTTTTCCCATAATTGTATTTGAAGGATTGTGGTGAAGCCACCTAAACATCCTACATGTAAGTTTCTTAAATGTTGATTGGTTAGGGAAAAAAATAGTATATATTACATAAGAAGATATTAAATGATTAATACAAAATGAAATGATAAGAATTAAATGAAAATTTTTAGCATCCTACATGTAAGTTTTTCAAATTTTGATTGGTTATGGAAAAAATTATTATATATTACATAAGAAGATATTAAATGACTAATACAAAATGAAATGATAAGAATTAATTGATAATTTTTAACATAATCTAAATTGAAATGATAAAAAATAATAAAATATAATTATTTAAATGAGATTAATTTGTAAAATATTATTAGATAATAGTTTTAAAAATATCAATAGATTATTATAATTTAGAAAACTCATTTTTAATATAAGAAAACCACTTTGACCACTTTTTATATTATTGAGGATTTTTTATTTGATTACATTAAGATTTAAGATTTATTTTTATCTTGAAAATTTTATGTTAATAAAAATAATTAAAAAATGCAATGGAACGTTACAATTTAAAAATTACAAATCTCATAAATATTAAACGATTGGACTACATCTAATATCCAACGCATTGCTATTTAATAAAGTAAAAATTAAAAATATCAATAAAACAAAAAACGGTATCCAATTGTCATAAAGGTGAATTGAAAAGTCATAAAGGTTAATGATGATTTTAATATTTATGATATATTATGGTATATTCAAAAGTTATTATTGTAAATAGTTAGTGGTAATTAATAAATATTATACATTACCATGCATTGAAAAGTCATGAACTATATTAGTGGTATATTAATCCGGTAAGAGTCACGCTCTTACCTTCCACAACAAGGCTTTGGCTATGTGGGTCAGAGGAGAGAGTTTTCAAGCCATCATACGAACAGTAAAAGATTATGAATCGCGTTTACGGTCACTTGGCCGACGTCCGCAACACTTCGACAAGACTTCGTGTGTGTTTGGTCGAAACCGTCGTTATCTCATTTCCAATATCGTCAACGTTGTTCGCACGCAATCTAAACACGATGTTATACGACCAGGTGTTGGAGTCAACAACGCAGAACCTCCGTTACTTGATGGTGTCAAGTCCGGAACCAGAATTCATATTCGAGTCTCTGTACGAAACGCACGTTCAGGCCTCAGTTTTGTGTGGGAAGAAATTATGTTTGAAGTTGCGCATTCGCAGCGGCGGTCACGATTACGAGGGAGTGTCGTACGTATCGATAATGAAAACGTCATTTGTACTTTGTAATTGTGGATTTGTGCACTCTCCGACAAATTGATGTTGATGTAGACTGTAACAACACGTGAGTTCACATTGGTCTACTGTGCGCGAGGTTTGAATTAAAAAAAATGTGTGTTTTATAATCAAATTCATTTCTTTTTATACTTCAAATTCAATTTTTATATGATTTTTTTGTGTGTAATTTGCAGGAAAAAAAGCGGGAAGAAAGTTGATACCATAAATAACAAATAACCTTCATATAAAAACCGTTCGGTCTTTGTAGGGCCAAAATAAAGAGGTTAGGACTTAACAAATTTTGCACCATTTTTATATTTGATTGTGTACTTTTCATTCATATTTTGGTTTTGCCCTTTTCTATCCTTCACTTTGTATTATTTGAAAATGATGAAGGAAACAAGAGATGAATAAAAGTGGGATTCACCAATGGGACAAATCGTTCACAAAAACATAAATTCGTCGTCAATTTAATATTTCAATTATTGATTTCCGTTAGTCTTTAAACCATAGTCATCATCATTGTTGTATAAATTAAAATATACATACCAAAAGGTTAATAAATTTTGTGAAACAATATAAATATATTAATATTTTATATTTTAAATTTATTAGAAATAATTTTATTTTAACAATATAATATTTTGTAATAATAAAAAGTTGATTTTTTGAACAATAATATAATATTTTATACTATTAAATTTGGTTTTTTTATTTATATCTAATTATTGAAATTTTTTAGTAAATTTAAAAGGTATGATTTTCAATATAAATAAATACAGTGATTCAAAATTTAAGATAAAATATGTTCTATGTTATTATTTTTGAAAATATCATTATCATCTAACATTGTTAGTATATTAGAGAAAAACCACAAATTATATAAATCTTTATGAGTAAAAAAATTATAAAGGAGTTGTTGGTGTTTTCAAATTAAATTATTTTCATCGAATATAGGTATTAAAAACATAAATCCAATTTCATTATGCAAAGTTTTTCACTCCATCAAAATGTGATTTTTTATTTTATAATCTATATATATAAATAGTTGTGTTTAAAGGATTGTGGTGAAATGACCTCATCATCCTACATGACAATTTGTTTTAAATTTTTATTGGTCCATAAAGATATTTATTAGCCAAAAATAAAGATATTTATAACGTATACAAAAGCGTGGCCAATAATATTCATTAGGTCACTACTAGAAACAACGGTTGTAAAAATATTTATTAGTCACTAATTAGCATAATGTGGGGCACAATGGAGAGGTTATGGCAGTTTTTTCAATTCTTATTGGATTTAAACATATTTATTATTTATAATTAGAAAAAGTTGTATCTTTATTACATATACATAAAAAAAGGGAACGAAACGGATGTTTTGGATTACATAGAGTAAATGATAGTTCGTGGTGTAAAAATCTATTGGAATGACTTGAATATCCCTAAGTGTTGAGGTGTTGCCACCTGTATTGCAGTTAAAACGGATAAGGCTCAAATAACAGACTTTCCAAGATCAAGAAGAAGACTTACTGGTTTTTTTTTTTGGCTATATAAAGGCTACATGAAGGGCTGATTCAGATACAGAAAAAAAAGGTACAGAAATCTACACGGAGACTTGCTTCTTCAAGTTTTTTGAGAGGCTGCTTCTTACTGCAAAAGAAGAGAAGAACGTCAATTTTTCAGATCAAAGAAAGGTCCAGGAAGGAGCAATAATCAAGCTAAGTTCCTATTTCTTTGGGGTTTCTCTTTTGTACGTGTTTGTGAAAAGTCAGAGGGTTCAAATCCTCTGGTTGTATCCGTGTAAAGAACGAGTATAATGAATTGATCCTAGGGCTAAAGACCCTGCCGAGACGTAGGTTCACTCACATCGAGTGATCCGAACTCGTAATCTGATCGTGCAAGTGTGGGTGTGTGCGTCTTTTGTTTCGGTATTCAATCGAGATTAAACAAGCCACAAACAACCCAGAATCAACCCTAGAACTACAAATCTGAGATAATAACCGTAAACCCTAGAATCTAAGAATAGAGAAATCAATCTTAGGGTTTAGTCAAAGAAGAATTTATCTTTCTCGGTAGATTTGTGTGTCTACTGTGTTGTTCTTTCTCCTTGTGTAGGAATCACCAATCACAACCAAAGATTCGTGGTGACTGTGTGAAGAGGAAGGTGGAGAGAGACCTGTGAGGAAGAAGCTTCGTGAGGCTACTCGAGAGAACAAAGAAAAAGAGGTTAGGGTTGTGACTACGGTTGCGATCAGACAAGGAATAAGGCTTGGTGGATATTTGTTTTGGTGGTGGGCCAGGGAAAAGAATTGGGCCTGAAACCACTACAAGTGGTATCAGAGCTTGGTTCCTCAGAACCAGGGATTTACGGAGGACTTACCGTGGGTTATCGGCGTTTCTTGAGCAGAAAGAAATAGAGGAGGCAGCAGCTTGCTGGAGCAACAAAACCCTGCAAGAACAGAAAACCAGAAAACTATTAGCACAGAAAATCAACTAAGGAAAACAAAGGAGAACCTGAGTTTAGGGACAACCTCAGTATAGCAAGTACCGGTGAAGGTGGAGCTTGTAAAGACTGCACAGAAAAGAAAAATGAGTACAGTAAAGGTAGAAATCGAAAGGTTCGATGGCAAAGGGGATTTCATGCTTTGGAAAGAGAAGATGGTCGCATACCTTGGAAACCTAGGATTAGACGAAGCTTTGAAGCTGAAACCGAATTTTCCAGCAACATTTACAGATGAGCAAAAGGAAGAAGTGTCCAAGAAAGCAAGGAACACTCTGATTCTATGTCTAGGAGAGGAAATTTTAAGAAGCGTTATCAAAGAGAAGACTGCAGCGGGAATGTGGAAAATCATTGAGGAAGAATTCATGGAGAAAGCATTACCGGAAAGAATCTACCTCAAACAGAAATTTTACGGGTTTCGTATGGATGAGGGCAAGACTATCGCAGAAAACATATGCGAGTTCAAAAAGCTAATTTCAGATTTGGAGAATATTGATGTGAAGATCGAAGATGAAGACAAAGCAAACTACTTGCTAAACTCATTGCCAAACCAGTTTGAACATGTGAAGGACACATTGAGGTTTAGCAAGGATATATTAACACTGAAAGATGTGATTAATGCAGCATATTCAAAGGAGTTAGATTTTAAAGCATCAGGAGCACAGTTTCAGAATCAAGGGGCTGGTTTAATGGTCAAAGGCGGATTTGGTAACAACTCCGGAAATCAGAACAGATTTGACAGCAAGTATAACTCGACTTCACAGACAAATATGCAACCTGGGAATAGCGGAAAGAAGATCTGTTGGTATTGCAGGAAAGAAGGACACATTAAAAAGGAGTGTAGATTGCGGAAAAAGCATCAAGAGGCTCAAGGGAATGCACAAACAGTTACAGCAACTGGGAATTTCTTAGACACTGAAGTTCTCACAGTTTCTAAGGAGGATTCAAGAGACGGTTGGGTACTAGACTCGGGGTGTGTTTATCACATGACGTCTAAGAGAGAAGTACTTTTAGACTTTAAGGAAATAAATGGTGGAAAAGTGCTGCTAGGTGACAACAGCACTTGTGAAGTCACAGGAACAGGATCGGTGCAGATTCAAGTGGCAGATGGCTCGGTAAAGAAGTTGGAACAGGTCAGGTATGTTCCAAAATTGAAGAGAAATTTGATATCTCTCAGCTGTCTAGACAGAAAAGGGTTATCCTACAGATCTAGAGGTGGCGTTTTACAAGTCTACAAAGGTTCAAGGAAAGTTTTGCAAGGGAAATTGCAAAACGGGTTATACATGTTACAGGGATTGGCTGTGACAAAGAGAACAGATGTTAACTCTTCTGAGTTGGGTTTGGAGAAGAATGTAAAGTGTTTCTCAGGAATTGAGAAATGTGTTGATGACTCTAAGGTGAAATTAGAGGCACTACAATCTGCTGGAAGAGTTCAGAAAGTTTCTGAGAAGCTTAAGGAAAGTTCAGGAGTTTGTGAAGAGCTACAATCAGTAGTTGAACAAGTTGAAAGGCTAGGATTTCTAGCTGAAACCAAGGTAAATGGTTTGATAACCAAGGTCTCACAAATGGGCAGGTTCAAAGAAGCAATGAACCTGTTCAAACTGGCAGACTAAGAAGTCTGAGAATTATGGGGTCTTTTAGCAAAGGTTCTAGGATCAAAATTCAACTATGGATCTCCAAGTCAAGGTGGAGATTATTGGAATGACTTGAATATCCCTAAGTGTTGAGGTGTTGCCACCTGTATTGCAGTTAAAACGGATAAGGCTCAAATAACAGACTTTCCAAGATCAAGAAGAAGACTTACTGGTTTTTTTTTTGGCTATATAAAGGCTACATGAAGGGCTGATTCAGATACAGAAAAAAAAGGTACAGAAATCTACACGGAGACTTGCTTCTTCAAGTTTTTTGAGAGGCTGCTTCTTACTGCAAAAGAAGAGAAGAACGTCAGTTTTTCAGATCAAAGAAAGGTCCAGGAAGGAGCAATAATCAAGCTAAGTTCCTATTTCTTTGGGGTTTCTCTTTTGTACGTGTTTGTGAAAAGTCAGAGGGTTCAAATCCTCTGGTTGTATCCGTGTAAAGAACGAGTATAGTGAATTGATCCTAGGGCTAAAGACCCTGCCGAGACGTAGGTTCACTCACATCGAGTGATCCGAACTCGTAATCTGATCGTGCAAGTGTGGGTGTGTGCGTCTTTTGTTTCGGTATTCAATCGAGATTAAACAAGCCACAAACAACCCAGAATCAACCCTAGAACTACAAATCTGAGATAATAACCGTAAACCCTAGAATCTAAGAATAGAGAAATCAATCTTAGGGTTTAGTCAAAGAAGAACTTATCTTTCTCGGTAGATTTGTGTGTCTACTGTGTTGTTCTTTCTCCTTGTGTAGGAATCACCAATCACAACCAAAGATTCATGGTGACTGTGTGAAGAGGAAGGTGGAGAGAGACCTGTGAGGAAGAAGCTTCGTGAGGCTACTCGAGAGAACAAAGAAGAAGAGGTTAGGGTTGTGACTACGGTTGCGATCAGACAAGGAATAAGGCTTGGTGGATATTTGTTTTGGTGGTGGGCCAGGGAAAAGAATTGGGCCTGAAACCACTACAAAATCTTTACTATATGAAAAAACGGTAATAATGATTTGGAAATAAAAACGAGTCTAGAATTGCAAGATTTGCAGGAAACAATCTCTCCCTCACGGTAAGTTATCAATTTCGTTATTTTCATTCTCATCTCATCCTAGGAGGTTACGACTATGGCACCGATAGAGGTGGATGTGAGAAATAGGATAGAGCACGAAGCGGTGGAGAAAGATGAAACGACGTTGACGTATTGTGACTGTGAAGCGGAGGAACCTTAAGGTGGAGGCAAAAGGATAATCGATGAATATACTTTATTCGCCGGTAAAAACTTTCAATCGACGATGGATTTATGCCGAAAGATTTGGGGGAGCCGCTGGAAAGTAGCGTCGTCAGTCGTATTTCGCCGACCGGAGGGCATTGTCAAAATACCAACTTAGAGGATAACTTACGATGACCCTCGACCTCTTGCTGATCCATTCATGGAATCAGCGAGGAACTGAACGCCACTGCGGGAAGTCGTCGACTGTGACAGAAGCTAAACTTGTGATCTCAAAATTCTTCGATTTTTCTAAAGCATATACAAAAACGTTTTTTAGGATTCGCAACAAAGAAATGGTCAACGTCAATCATAAATCTTTTCATATCAATCCCTTTGCACGCCTTTCTCCATGCCGCTGCAAGTTGTTCCTTCTTAAACGCAGAAGAGCGTGGTACAAAACCAATATAAGTGATCGCGACATTTCGCCAAAATCCCATTTTGAAAAAACGTTCGATACACTTAGTATCCATTTGGTTTATAATCCTTATTATTTATGCATAAAATTTTTTCTAAATTTTTTCTACTAAATAAAAACATAAAAACAAAATAATTTTTCGATTCATGAGATTTTATTTGATTGGATTATATTCAAATTTTATTGTACTTTTTTCCTTTTATTCGGTTTGAATTTTTTTTTGAAATTATTACCATTTAATTTTTATAGAAAATTGTGTTAAATTGTTGTGTGAAACATCATCATCATTATTATTATGTGAATATATACATAAAAAATATCAAAAAACCTAACCTATTATGTTGATTAAATATATAATTCACCGTAAAAAATATAGAAAATTAGTATTCAATATATATATATATATATAAATAATTTTATAGTATAATAATATAATGATATCTATATTCCTTCATCTTCTCTCTTCTCTAGATCAATATATAACTTTTGTTATCTTCGTATCAATGATTTTTTAAAATAAACCGCACATCGAGCGGTT